TCTTCCATCTATTAATCCAGCAGAAAAAATATCAATAATGTCTACTGAAACAAAAAAACAATCATTTAAAGTAGCTGATTTAAGTTTAGCTGATTGGGGTCGCCGAGAAATCGTCTTAGCTGAATATGAAATGCCCGGTTTAATGCAATTACGTCGTACTTATGGTCCATCACAACCATTAAAAGGTGCACGTATTGCTGGTTGTCTTCATATGACTGTTCAAACAGCTGTACTTATCGAAACATTAACTGCCTTAGGAGCTGAAGTACAATGGAGTAGTTGCAATATTTTTTCAACACAAGATCATGCTGCAGCTGCTATTGCTAAAGCTGGTATACCTGTTTATGCATGGAAAGGTGAAACTGATGAAGAATATATTTGGTGTATTGAACAAACAATACATTTTGGTGAAGAAAAGAAACCATTAAACATGATATTAGATGATGGTGGTGATTTAACTGGTATTGTTCATGATAAATATCCTGAATTTACAGCAAATATTTTGGGTATTAGTGAAGAAACAACAACAGGTGTACATGCACTTTATAAAATGCTTAAACAAGGTAAACTTAAAGTACCAGCTATTAATGTTAATGATTCAGTAACAAAATCAAAATTCGATAATTTATATGGTTGTCGTGAATCACTTATTGATGGTATTAAACGTGCAACTGATATTATGATTGCTGGAAAAGTTGCTGTTGTTGCTGGTTATGGTGATGTTGGTAAAGGTAGTGCACGAGCTTTAAGAAATTTTGGTGCTCGTGTTATTATTACTGAAATTGATCCAATCAATGCTTTACAAGCAGCCATGGAAGGCTATGAAGTAACTACGATGGAAGAAGCATGTAAAGTTGGTCGTATCTTTGTAACAACAACCGGTTGTCGAGATATTATTTTACCACAACATATGCTTGAAATGCCAGATAATGCTATTGTTTGCAATATTGGTCATTTTGATATTGAAATTGATGTTGCATGGCTTACAAAGAACGCAGTTTCAAAAGAAGTTATTAAACCACAAGTAAATCGAAAAACAAAAAAATTTAAATATATTTTATTTATGTATTTGTTTTAGGTTGATCGTTATAAATTATCAAGTGGACGTTCAATTATTTTACTTGCTGAAGGTCGACTTGTTAACCTTGGTAAGAGATAAAAATAAATATATAAATATCGTTTTGTTTATTATTATTATTACGATGATTAGGTTGTGCTCATGGTCATCCAAGTTTCGTTATGAGTAACTCATTTACTAATCAAGTTCTTGCACAAATTGAATTATATACCAAACATGGTCAATATCCAGTTGGTGTTTATATCTTACCCAAGAAGGTATAATCTCATTTGTTTATTTCTAATTCATATATATATATATATATTTTCTTTTCTAGCTTGATGAAGAAGTAGCCGCTGCTCATCTTGATCATTTAGGTGTTAAATTAAGTAAAATGACAAATGAACAAGCTCAATATTTGGATTTAAATGTCGCCGGTCCATTTAAACCTGAACATTATCGTTATTAAAAATTGTTTTAAGTCAACAGTGAAAACAAATATGATTCAACGAGCATAGTCCATCGTTTGAATCTATTCCAGTATAATATTATTTTGTGATAATGTTGGTATTGAATAAATAAAAGAATATATTCAACCGTGATAAACATCTTCGTTTATTAAGAATGTAACAGATGACTAAGAACTAGTTGCAATAGTCAAACTAAGAATAAATGATGTGAATTTTCACTTATTTTGAGATGTCTAAAAATTATTAATTTCATTGAAACAAGATGATGTTATCGAATGAAACCTTGATCATAATCTAGAAATATACAGGAATATAGTCGATCAATATCTATACGATATATTAGTCTATTCGATGTACAAACAGAAAAACAAAATGTGATACTGTCAATTATCATTTCCGTAGTTATTTTTTACAGCTGTCTACCTACATATCTTTCTTGTTAAAGATATTATTTTATTAATGCATACTTAAAAACAATTATTTCACATTTTTCTTAGAACGTGACGTTACTGATGCATCCATAATAACATTCTATCACGCTGTGAGATAAATTTAAATATTAAGTTTACAATTAATAGGTGTCTTGATTTTCTTTTGCTCATTATAATTCAACTTTTCATTTTAATTAAAGATTATTGATTTATATACGAAAAAAACATATTATATTTTTAAAGAACAGCGTTTTCAACACTTATTTTGATTTTTATAATGACTATTGGAAAATTCCAATTTGGAACAAATCATTGAAATTATTTGTAGTTCTCCTAACTTTCAGTTTTATTCATTATGATCAATAATATTTTATAGAATAGTTGACTCATTTAATAAAGAATGGAATTTCATATTTTTGATGAGTTTCATATATAGTGAATAAATTGAAGTGGCTGAACGTGGCAAGACAACTGATATTCTATGTCCTTTTTCGATATTGAATTGATTGTTCTCTCGTCTTCCATTTTAGACTTTTATAATTCTAGTTCAAACAATCAAGTATTTTATCTATATTTTTTAAATCAGAAAAGATTAGACATATAGATTTGTTGACTGGTGATAACAATAATAGTACAGATCAACATCGCTATACTTTCTATTAAACTTTAACAAATAATTCATGCGTATATACTGGAAAATCTTTTTATTGACATAAACTCGTTGATTTACAAGAAGTTATGAATAAGAATTTATATACAAATCTCAGGCATAGACTAGAGAATTTTTGAAGAGTTTTATTCCAGCGCGTATTATATACCTGAGGATCAAATAACAAGTGTCAATTTTTTTCTCCAGTTGAATATCAACATAAGTCAGATTTTGATGCAAACTTATAGCTACATAGTTTTCAGGTAAATGTATGAGTTACTTTTAGTTCATGAAAACAAGCAAATACTTATTCTGAATAAGAACATTACATGTTATGGACGAATTGTGAGATCTAAGTATGTCAAGAAGGTGAAAGGATAAGTTCGCCTAGAGTTCCAATATATTTCTTTTATTTTATCAGTAAAAAAGACCTTTTTTTTACTTCTTATATGCAGACAATGCAACTCAATCATAATAAAAAAAAACGAATTTATAATAACAACTTTTTCGTTTTCGATTAAATATATTTTGAAAGATTTTTTTTGTCAACAGAAAAGAAAAAAAAATAAGTAAAGCACGTTAAAAGTAATCTTGAGAAAGCCGACATGTTTTCTCAATTATTTAAAAAGAAAAACATCTTCAATACTCATTTTAATATTTTACATTAGAAATATAAACGCCCATTTCGACGTTAATGGTATAGATGAAGTATGCAGATGACGATGTTAGTGAGAGAAAAACCCGAATATGTTGACGTCTGAATTGAAACATATTTCATAATTATTACATGAAATGGCTTCAAGAGATGTTGTCGATAGCAAACGTTTTGTATTTCAGTCGTCTGATAAAAAAGTTGTAACTTACATAAGTCCTAGAAATAAAATTAGTACTTATGTTACACCTAAAACAAAACAATCACATACGTCACCGGTAAGAAAGAAACCGTTGTCACAGCCACCACCATCACCACCTGTAGTAAATAAATATCCACAGCCATCACCATCTGTAGTAAACAAATTTCCACCACCATCACCACCTGTAGTAAACAAACTTCCACCACCAACATTAGAAAGACATACTAATGTTGTTACACCACGAACAGAATTAACTTCACCTCGACGTATTATTGTTGTACGTAGTAAGAAACATCCACAAGTCAATGGAGATGTAGGTGGTTCAGAAGGTGTTACAGATCAGGATTTAGTAAATATTCCTTTAAAAAATACGAATGGAGTAAGGATATTAGTTTTATCAATAAAATGATTTGTTATATGTATAAAAGAATATTTTTAGAATAAAGCAATCTATTTCATTCGAAGATCTATTGTACCAACTGGTCATCAAACATCAACTCATCAATTTAATAATGAATAAAATGAAATGTGTTTTTTATTTTCGTTTATAAATATATTATATATTAATTTGTATAGAGAAATTCTTTTTTATTATAAATATTTATTAATAAATTAACAGATAAACAAGAATCTAAAATTAGATGTATTGTCTTATTTCAGTAAAAGTCAAATATATAATAAAGCGATATTTCTATTAAAGTTTAATAATGTCCGATTGTAGAAAATAAATACAAAGAAACTTGATAACATCGATTGTTATATGTTCATTTGAAATGAGATCAAAATGTTCGACATATTAATAAAATAATCTCTAAATGAATGGAAACTGAATACAAAAATTCGAGTTTTGTATTAAATTAAATATTGATACAATACATAGTACGATCAAATTAAATTTTAATTCTAAAAAACTTCATTCTATTACCAAATTATGAATAGAACTTATTTTCTTTGCTCTAATTTTTAGAAATAAGAGAAAAATTAAGATGAGTTTCGATCTCCAAATAAATCTAAATCTTAAACAGCCATATGCTATGTTCATATCTTCTCGATCATTTGTTGTTTTTACTTAATGTAAGAAATAACTTTTATTTTAACATGTGTTTCTAATTTTATACTGAAAGAGAAACATAATCAATCAAACTTTCATAAAAGATATAGTCTCAGGTGGATGTACTATTAGAAATTTGAGATTACAAAAGATTAATACTTTTAAAAAAAACAATATAAACGAATCTTATTATTTACTCACCGAACTTCTCATTCTTTAGTAAATATACAAACTTGAAACCGTTCTTTTTCTGAATAGATGTTTTAAGTATTCACTTTTTTTTTCTTGAAAATTAAACATCGATTGAATAGTAATGCTTCTTTGATAATCATTACCTAAATCGATATTCTGTAATCGTGGAAGCCTTTCCGACAAAAATATCTGTTTGTAAATAATAAATGAATCTAACCGAAAATATTTACATGAACTTTAATAGTTCAAAAATTTAGCTAAACACTAAATAGATTCTCTAAAAAAACAAAATCTTCGTATTAATCCGTTAACGTTTTCTTTATTTTCATAGGAAAAAAGAAAAATTGTGAGAAGTAGGTGAATAATGTAAAAAATTTTAACAATAAGAACGAAATTTTTTTCTCCACTTCTGTTGCTCATGCAGTTCTCATATGTAAACATGATTAACTACCCACAATACTAAAAAAATTGTCAGGAATAGTGCGTGTGCGGGGCGACGTTGAAGTTAATAACAACAAACAAAAAGAAGCAGCTGAATATTTTTTGCATAATTTTCTATTAGAAATCGATGTGTAGAATTGTCACAAGAAGTAATCGTGATAGTTAACTTGTCATCTATCGCTTTGTTATAAAAGAACATCAACCATATTATATTTCCAGATAGAAATCAAACGTTGATATTCCAGTAAAATCTTAACAATCAATTAATATGTATCCACAATATGCAACATCGTCAAGTCCATCCCGAAAGGTTGTTGTTGTACGTAATACAGCAAATCCTCAATATCCCATGGACAATTCTGAAATGTATCATAGTGGTGTACGTATATTATTTATAGATCAATTTTTTTTATTCTATATCAATAAGAATATTTTAGAATAGACCGGTTTATGTTTCACGGTATCCTACAGGCGCAAATAGATCGTCGATGATATTAACTCCTAGTCGTTCACCAGTAACATATTATGATAATTCACAAGTTTACCCATCAAATACAATACGTACATATAATCAACCAGCTCCAATAACAGGTTACTATTCTGATAAATATCATTTTTTTCAAACTATGATGTTATTTTATTTGATTAAATAGTCCCTAGCGATGATGATGTAGGCTGTTTTTCATGTTGCTCAGACTTATGGGCTCCTGATTCAGAATATCCAACATCTTCGCATGTAATACGAAATGGATCATCGGGACCTTATTCTCAATATATGAACTCAAGTGAAGTGGTATATATATAATATAATAAATTTATAATAAAAAAAAAATATTTCGTATAATTTTTTATAGAATTATGTATCAACACGCGATAAGACAATGTCAGGTTGCTCACGACGAGTGGTTGATTACTTATCAAGATATATGTGTTTAATCATAGCCGCGTGTATCATTATTCTTTTAATCGCTATAGCCGATATTGTTGTTTGTGCTGTTTTTCTTTCTATCAGTAAAATTATTTATTTTCATATTTTCATATTTTATTTCTTTTATAATTATAGATCCATCAACATATGCTAATCTTAAAATAGCTGGCATTGCAATAGGTAGCATTTTAATCGGAATCATTGTAATTTTCTTAACGTTTCTATTATGTTGTGTTGGTAACCGTGATGGATTTTTTTCATACTTTGGTAAACGTCAACATATTGGTGGTCAAGTTTATGCACTTATGCCTCCACCGAATAATCAACAATATACACATACAGTTGCAAGTAATTATCCAGTAGGAGCAAATCCTTCTAATATAATATATCCAAATCAAACATATGGAGCAAACAAAGGTAATGTTGTTATTGAATTACCTGATAATGTTGCAGGAAGAAATATGACACCCAAAACACGTGAACGTAATATAAATAAAGTTGTTCAAAACTTAGGTCAAGTTGTTGAAGATGCAAAAAGACGAAATAATGGAGCAATGCCAAATAATCTCGTTGTCAAAGTTGCATAATATATTATCAAAGAATCTTTTTTTCCTAATTTAAATATGTATTTTTTTTTTTCATTTTTCAAAGATTTGGAAATATATTTTCTATTTATTATTATACACATAAAGATTTAGTGTTTTCATTATATATATATATTTTATCTAATAAGAAAGAATTCAATCGATTTCTTTTATTTTTGTGAATAGACATTCTTCTCATTGAACAATATTTGTATATACCAAGTACTACGTACTTATAAATTGATTCAAATTTAACTAGTCTTATGAGAAATAAAAATTTGTTTGTTTATATAAAGAATTCCTTTTGAATTGTTTATATGAATTAAAAATTTCATCTTTCTTTTTTTTTTTCTTTCTCAATTTATAGTTGAACATTTGTTATTATTGTTCTTATGAAGTGTATTAAATTGATCATTGCAATGGATATGTAGCATATAAATATAGAAAAAGAAGAGTGATAGACAAGTGTTCAAGTGTGTGTAATCGAGCGGCAGATTCGTTTGTTGATCTTGAGGGGTATATGTATGTCGGTTAGCCAGAGGGTTCACTAACAAGATGGCCAAGTATGTCACAGCAATTTCTAATCGAATTCAATTTGTCTCTCTATTAAGCTTATGTACAGCTATTTTTTTTATAATTTTTTTTTTATTTAACTACATATATATATATAGTTTTACTTGTATTCATAAATGAGACCAATTAGAGCAAAAGAAAAGGCTTATTGTATAGTAAGTGAATGAATGAATAAGAGACACATTCGGTGAACACACAATTGCTATTATTATCAATCTCGATGTTGTTTTATGATGAAGAGAATAGAGAAATTTTTTTTTGTATCAGACATTAGTTGAAAACTAGTCTAAGATGCTGCTGCTGCTGCTTCTTTCTTTTTTTTTAATCATATGTTGTCATAGTATTCCGGTTTACTTGTTTAAAATGAATAAACCATCATTGTATACGCTTGCCTGTTCTTCTTTCCGTTAAAAGTCAATGTAACGTAATCATTAAATATCAGCAAAAAGAGAAAATTTCCTCATCTCTATCTCTCGTATTCATTTATAGTTAAAATATTAATTATTTTTGCCGATAGATATGTATGTGTTTCTTTGAATATTTGATCATTTTCTTTTTTTCTCTTAAATGTGATGACAAACAATCATTTGCTAAACATAATAAACTTTGATTCCGATCGGAAATGATCGAGATATTGAGTCTTTTCTCTATTTAACAATTGATTGCGAAAAAGAAAAAGAAAAAAAAGAATAATACTTCTTTTTTACTATTTAACAAAAGAAAGAGTCTAATGTATATATTTCTTTAAATTATCGTTTCTAATCTATCACAATCGTCGTCTATTGACACACATCATGTGTCTAGATTGCTGAGAAAACGGGTCATCTGGAGTAAAAGAAGAAGAAAAAAAGAAGGGAAATGAACTTTTCAACGGCAAATCATGTGTATTCATAAGACATATAAAAATCTCCTGCTGTGTCGGAAAAATAAATGAACAATTATTTTCATCTTGATGTAACCGCTAAGATTTATCCGAGTATCTCTCTCTCTTAAATTAATCAATTGTAAATATATTTCATAAGATTGTTCTTTAATTTTAAGATATATATATATATATATATGTATAGAAAAAAGAAGTGATTACTTAAAAACGTGGTTCAAAATTATTATTATTGGTGTCCGATGATAATTTTGTAGGTAGAAGTGCTTGTGGTCTATGAAGACCAAAATGATGTTCATTTAAAGAATTATTTGATGATACACTTGATGATGGAGATGTTGCAACAGCTGCTGCAGCTAAACTAGCTGATAACATTGTACTATATGGATAATGTGTTGAAAATGCAGCTGCATATGCAAGTGGATTATAAGCAAATGTTGCTGGGGAAAAATCGGTTAATTTACCAGTTGGATATGGATAAAGTGATGATGTTGTTGTTTGTGGAGATAACATTGAACGACATTTTTCAAGATTAAGTGCTAATGATTCATTAAATTGTTGTTGAATACTTGCTGAATTTGTTAAATCATTTGAATCTTTAGTTGTTGATAATGGACCAAATGTAAATGGATATGAATCTTTTTTTATTAAAGATTTTGGTTTACGTCTTGGACGATATTTATAATCCGGATGTTCTTTCATATGTAATGAACGTAAACGTTTAGCTTCATCAATAAATGGTCGTTTTTGTTCATCATTTAATAATTTCCAATCAATACCTAAACGACGACTTATTTCACTGTTATGCATTTTAGGATTTTCTTGAGCCATTTTTCGTCGTTGACCACGAGACCAAACCATAAATGCATTCATTGGTCGTTTTATATGTTCATTTAATGGTAAATTCGAATTTGATGATTTATTTACCATATTCATAATTGGATGAGGATGAAATAGATTAGCTAAAAGATAAGAAAAATAAAAATAAAAATAAAAAGTAATTGTTTCTTTTTTTTTTATAAAAAAAAGAAAAGTATTTTTATACTTACACATCATGTTTGAATATCTAAGAATCGTTTTTCTTATCTTATATACAATAGAGGAATTGATAAAAGCCTATTATATTATTCGACAAGCGAAGAAGAAAAATAGTTTTTTTTTCTCTCTTAGTCTCTCTATGTATATACAAAGCGAAACATAATGACTTGAACTATGTGCTGTGCACACTAATAGAAGAAGAGGAGGCCTTTTTTTGTCGTCCTCGTCAATGCTCAAGAAAGTGTTATTCAAATAGAGACAGCCAAGTGGAAGAGAGAATGAGCAAGTAATAATAATAATAGTAGTAATAATAAAAAGAATAATAACAACAGCTACCAACTATTTTTTCCCTCCAATCGAAATTGAAGAATATAAACGAACAAGAAAAAAAAGAATAAGAAAATTAAAAATCGTCATTGGCCATTCATGGCGTTTCTTTCCGCTTTTTTCTTTTCTTTTTCTTTTATTCTATTCTATTCTGTTGCTCGTTCGGAAGCGAGAAAAAATGGCAGCGCCCAACAACAAAACGATTACAATACGCATCTATTGGTCTTTGAATAAGCAAAAAAAAGAAAGAACAATTGAGAGTATATGTTATAATAAAAGTTTACATCAACCGTACTCTTGAATAGTGAATAGCGCATAAGAAAAAAAAAGTTGAGAGTATAATAATCGAATGTATACATTGATTATTAGTTTGTTTCGTTTACTTAAATAACATCATACAAGCGTAGATAAATTTACAATTTATTCTTTTTTATTAATAACACATTTCTTTTCTTTTTGTTGCATTTAATATATTCGATAAAAATTCAAAATCTAGTTATATTGAAAAATTATAATAACAATTATGATATTTTTTCATTTACAGATCTTGTTATTCTTTTGATTTAACTTGTACAGATACTTTTTCTTTATTAGTACAAAATTACAATACGTTTGTTAAGAAAGACATAGAAAATGAAGACGACGAATTGAACGGAAGTAAGCATCGAAGACGTCTAGCAACGGAAGCGACTTATTTAGCATCGACAAAGAAATTACAGTTCTCTAGTTTTTTTTAGCTTCTTCTTCTTCAATGAAGAACAAGAATAATAGAATAATCATACAGCCCGGACGCACACACACGCATGTATGTGTTGTTTGTCTGTCCATATTAGTGAGCTCAACGGCTCACCAATTACGGGTCTATTCACTGGTCGATGATCTTGTAAAAAAAAAAGAAAGAGAAGAGAAATAAAATGAAGATGATGATGCGAGCCAGAGAACGTGACGATATGTATGTATGGCTGTAATCAAATTGCATTTGGACACACAGCTTCAGGCTGTTGTAATTGGTTTGAAGAGTATGGATAGAGAAATGACGACTGTTAGTAATCATGAATGAAGATGATTGATTATTATTATTGCTTCTTCTTTTTTTAAGCCTCTAGGGGTATTACATTGATACTTCTCGTTTTAGTTTATATTCATTGGTCTCTTATGTCAACATAGAAATATAAACAAAACTTTTCAATAAAAAAAAAAGAACATTTTAAATATGTGTTTATTCTTTAATCTGTTATTCAAGTAGCTTACTCATATGTTGAGAAAATTTAACTTCATCTTACTTCATGTACTAGTTAATCCATATAGAAAGCATTTCGTTTAAGATCATTAGTTAGGTTTCTATTTACTTTTTGCTACATAAATAAGAAAAAGAAAGATTAGACGAGAGAAAATTTGACACCTGATGATTTACATTTTATTGAGAATGTTTAAAATAAAACGAATATGATTAGATATGCGTGAATGAATATTTACATGTTTGAATGATAATTATTGAAATCTTAAGAATAGGTATATTACAATTGATTATGCAATGATTGATTTTTTTCTAAACATAAAAAAATGAAATCAATCGTGAATGATCAATTCAATTTAACTATAAGTAAAAAAAAAAAATCTGTCGATTTAGTAAAAGATTGAACATTGTAAATGGGTCTGTTGATAATTGATTGATGAAGTGAATCATTTTTTTCTTCACAAGTACATAAATTCACATTGCACTTTATTACTAATACAATAAAATATAATCTTACGAATGCAATGAACTATTGCATTGTAATCGATTTGTACGTAATAAAAACAAAAAAAATTTCTATTGACATTCGAAAAATTTGTATGGCATCTTATATTTTTGTGTTTTTGTTTCAATGTACGTGTTCGTTTATATCAATGCTATAGAGATCTGTTTTTTACATCAGAGTAATAAAAGACAAAATTATTAAATGATTAGTTTGTTTTAATACGGTCATTTCAAGTTAGTTGTAAAGAGTGATCAGAAATTTTTGACAATGAAATCAAAAGAAGGCTGGTAACATAGTTTTCTTCAAGAACTTGTATATGTTCTATTCAAAAATAGGATATTAGCATTCATTAGGTGTTTATAAAGATTAAATAAAAACACCAAAAAGAACGATATATCTATATAATATCAGATTAAAAATTAATTCCTCTAAATACAAAAGCTTTTGATTACAACTTGGTATCAATCATTAACAAAAGGTAAAAAATGAATCATTATTATTACTTTTCATATATCTACAAAGTAAAAATGAATAAATAATGATGTACTTTTATTTCTACAAAAATATATTTTTGACATTTATGCAAGTTTCTGCTCATAAATTTCATGCTCACTTACTTAGTTTAATCTACCTGTTCATTAATCCGATAATAGTATAGGTATCTGAACTAATTTACTTATTATATGAAGGAAAAATTTTGTGAAACTCGCATAAGTTTTAAGTTCAAGTTTTCCAGCTCCTCTCCACCAGATTCAATAAAAATAAGCAAAAATAGCTATAAATTAATTAAATTTGAGCAAAAAAAAGAAAACAAAGCACTTCAACGTGATCAGATATTTTGATGCGAACATACGTAAGTTTTACATTTTTAGCCCCAATAGGGCTGCACTGATAAAATTTTTATGTTAAAGTACATCAAACTAATACAATCAATAATACAAATGGGAAGCAAACATCATTTATTAGCTACCTGGAGAAAGTACAGTGCATTTGTTTTTGTTATATATATGAAATAAATCTTCATTATTCTATGCCTTCGGTTTATCAGCAAAATCATGCATAGTTTTTAAATAGAGTAAGAACCGTTAGGCGAACATACTTTCTAACAGTACAAGTGCATATGAAAAAAAGTAATTACAAAGAATAAGCTCTATTTGATTGCATTATTGATAATGATATCTAGAAATGAAAATTTTGATTGACAAATGGTGTATGTTTGATACTCAATGATAGTAAAGTTTATTATCAGGAAAATAGTGGCATAAATTATGGAAAAAAAAACATTATTGACATGTTGAATATTTAATATGAATAAATATTTAAAATAGAAACAAGTATTGATTTTGTTTAAATAATAGTAGTAATTTGAGAATTATTTATTCGATGAATGTATATAATATTGTATCAATTTAAATATCAAAAATGAATTTTAAAACAAAATAAAAACTTGACTTTTCAAATTTATTGAATAATGCACGAGAAAAAATAATATACTTTCCTAAATCTAGTGACATCCTTCGAAAATATTATATTGGATGGTTAAAGTATATTTCCATCATGTTTATTCCTTCTTTGTACATAATATGTCAAATCTGCCAGAAATTTCTATGATTATTCTAGAAAATAGTATTACTATGTTTGTAAAATATCAATAACAAGGACATTTTATTTCTCAATGAAAGATCAAGTAAATAAAACTTAGCAATCAACAGGAATATATTTAATGTCGATACTACGTTTAACAGCTGATCAAGTTCGACGATGTTTACATGGTGTTGGTTATGAAATATTTGTTCAATCATTTTTTGATTCAAATGGTGATGGTATTGGAGATTTAAATGGACTTCGTCAAAAATTAGATTATCTTTCAGATTTAGGTATAACATTAATATGGCTTATGCCTATTCATCCAGCTAAAACATATCATAAATATGATGTTGAAGATTATATGAATATTCATTCTGATTATGGGACAATCGAAGATTTTCGTCATTTAATTAATGAATGTCATCAACGAGGTATACTTGTTATTCTTGATCTTGTTGCTAATCATACAAGTTATGATCATCCATGGTTTCAACAAGCACAATTAAATTCAACAAATTCATATCGAGATTATTACATATGGAAAGATAGTGAACGTGTACAACAATTAGGTTTAAATGCTTTTAATACACCAGATATGAATGCAGCTGGTCTATGGCATAAAGTTGGACCGGAAAGTGAACATTTCGATTGGGAAGAATTTGAAAAGAAATCAAAAATTCGTATTGATGTTGATAAAGGTATGTTATATATGAAAAAGAGTTGATAGATTTTTAATTAAATATTTTAGATGATCGAATAACATCGAAATTAGCACTTTCACATGATGAAGAACAATCAACAAATAAAAGAAAAATCGAAAAATTAACAACAAATATATATTATGCTATATTTGATCCTCGTATGCCTGATTTAAATTATGATTGTGAACGTGTTCAAGATGAAATATGTCGTATTGGTCGAACATGGCTTGAACTTGGTGTTGATGGTTTTCGTCTTGATGCTGCAAAATATTTTTATAAACCACCTCGTTTAAAATCGAATATTTCCTGGTGGACAAAATTTCGTAATGAAATGTTACGTATTAATCCTTCGGTTTATTTAATTGGTGAAGTATGGGATTTATCAATACGAATAGCACCCTATCTTCGTTCACTTGATTCGGTATTTAATTTTGAATTAGCTGATATATTTATATCATGTATATTAAATGAAGGTAATTGTTCATCAATGTTAAATTCATATATTCGTATAATAAATAATTATAAGAAAGAAAATCATGGAGAAATTATTGATGCTATTTTTCTATCAAATCATGATCAAAATCGTGTTATGTCAGTATTTAATAATAATGTATCAAAAGCTAAAATGGCTGCTGCATTACTTTTAACTTTACCCGGTCTTCCTTTTATATATTACGGTGAAGAAATTGGTATGTTAGGAATGAAACCACATGATAAATATCGTCGAGAACCTTTTCTTTGGTCAGCAAATCAAACACAAGGACAAACAACATGGCTTGAACCATTATATACAACAATTAGTAATGGTTGTATTCCTCTTGATCAACAACTTAAGGATTCAAATTCATTAGTTAATCATTATAAAAAATTAATTCATATTCGTTGTCAATCTGACATACTTCTTTTTGGTTTATTAAAACCTATTCCAACACGTATTCGTTGTTTATGTCTTTTCGAACGAGAATATAATAATAAATCGATATTTATTGCTCATAATATTGGATATCGAATGCAACAAATTTCTATACCTAAAATTTATTGTCATATTATTTATTCAACAAATGATAATAATCAACTAATAACCAAAGGACAACTTAATTTACAAGGTTTTTCATCGATTATTATTGATTCGAAATAATATATGATCTTTTTGTTATATTTTTAAATTGTTTTATTTATTATTGATAAATAAATATTATCAATAGATTTATTTTATATTATACCAATATGATTGTATTGATAGAGACGATATTCACTGTATTTCAGTCACTCGATTAGAAATGTGCGGGACTGGGATCAGAAGAAAAGCTGTATCGGGACCGAAAAAAATTTAATAGGACTATGATCGGGGCCGGGATCTAGAAAGGTCGATCCCGCACATCTTTACACTCGATAGATCAATACTGTTAAGACAAAAGATATGCCTAAAATGTTCCGAAATCATTTTTTTTCAGAAGACTAAATATCAAATGAATATTTAACAGTTATTAGTTATACATAATATTCTAAAGGATAGGTGCTGTAACAGATGCTTCATTTAATTTTTTTGATTTTGGTTTTGGCCATCGACGATCTTGATGTGCCCATATAAAACTAATAGAATTATAAATTATATATATTCAACAATATTTTGTATAATCTCACCGATATGCAATACCAGCTATCGTACCACCGAGCAAAGGTCCAATCCAATAGATCCAATGATCTGCCCATTGATTAGCTACTATAGCTGGACCTAAAGAACGAGCTGGATTCAAACTTGCACCAGTATATGATCCTCTATAATAACAAACAAATGAGCATATATATTATAAAAATAGTGTAGATATACGCAGTAAGAATATTTCCAACTAATGTAAATCCAATTAATAAAGGTGCTAGACCAGTTTTAGATTTTGTATCAAGTGCTACCAGTAATATAACAGTGACAAACAAAAATGTAATAAAAAATTCAATAATTAAACCCTATGTTTAAATTTTAAATCTACATATTTTTCAATACAAAAAAATTTTACCTGCCACCATTCTATCATGTCAATTTTGTTTAACAAAGTTGCACCTCCATGACATTGTGTATAAGAATCACGAGAAACTAATAAACGTACGAGACCAGCTGCTCCAATACCTATATTTCAAAATTTAGAAATAATTTTATTCGAATTATATCTACCTGCAATTATTTGCATTATAACATAAATTATAGCTAAATAGTATCGAATTTCTCCAGCAATAAATACTCCTAATGTAACACATGGATTAAGATGTGTACCACTGAGAAATAAAACGTTAAATTATATATAAAAATCATATTTCTATTACCTAATATGACCTAAAATGAATAAACTAAACATACGTTCTATGAATAAACCTTTTTCAACTAACCAAAACTTGCTAAAAGTACCATTAATGTACATCCAAAAGAGAAAGCTCCTTGAATAATATTTCCTGAAGTACTACATCCACCCCATAAACCGAACGTAACTAATAGAAAAGTTCCTACCTAAATGAAACTCTCCCTGATAGAAAAAAACAAGTCATTATATATTGAAATAATTACGAATTCAACAATAATAGGTCGAATAATCGTAATAAATAAACTTTCTCTTTTATGTTGAGCATCTCGTGATCCACGAATATTTCTAAAAACAAATAAAAAAATTTTTCTATTATTAACTAATCCGATTTTATACTTACTCGAAAATCCGTACACGATGCATGACTTTGGAAATTTTTAATTATCATATTAAAATTGGCGCTCATATAAGAATGACTTATTAAATCAAAGTATTATTTATTTTTGCTATGTATAAATCTCATCAAAATTCTTATAGAAAGATAAGATCATCATATAAATTGATTAGACCAACAACACTTTTCCCTTTCACTCATATATACCAATATATGCTTCCGTGTGAAATATTCCAGCCGGTCAAAGAAGAAGAAGAAGATGAAACCTATTGAATTCTGAAAGCCTCAGGGTTACATTAAATCTTTGATTCTTGGATGATATGTAGTCAAAAAAAGAAAGGCGGACATCATGTTTCGTTAATGAAATTATAGCTAGAAGTCATTGTAATAATAATCATGATGATGTTGAGATATATATATATATATATATATGTTTGACCTTATTTAATGACAAGAAACGAACATCGTTAGATTTTGTTCTCATACATATAAAAATGTTAAATGTCTGAGTGAGAGAATATGTTTCATTTTTTTACGCTTACTTACTCACTAAATGTTTGAACATATTCTTTTTTTTCGTTATTGACAAGTCAAGTGGAAAATGAGTAAAAGAAACGAACGAATGCGTTTCAATTTATTTTTAACGTTAAAGAAGTTAGCTATTTACCGACACTGACGCCGGCGGATCAGGTAAGCTAAATACTTGAATCAACATTCTATTAGTTCAAGTGATTCGAATTGTGCATTTTGTATATCGTTCATATATTTTGTTGATATAACCAATTTAAGCAGTGAAGACTGGCAATGATGATGATGATGATGATGATGATGATAATATCTGGCATTGCCCTCAAGCGCCATCAGCTATATGACCAACACACTATGGCTGATATCTTTCTCATTGTAACTCGTATTTTACCTCAAGCTTTATATTAGTCTGTTCTTCATTTCCAAAAAATTAGATGAAATCTATTTTGGTTAAAGATTAGTATCTCGATCATTCAATCTTATTTATTTATTTTATATAAGAATTAATCATCTCAACGAATAATTCATATAACAAAAAAAATTTATACTAAAGGAAAAAATTCAATAATAATGTAGCCGAAAAAAACCATAATTTAATAAATTAACAGGTATAATTTTTCTATCTACGGTATTTTAATCATAATTGAATTTAGTATAAGTAACATTCCATATAAGCTTACAAATTCATAGCCTATGGTAAAAAAGAAAAGTATTATTTGTGTACTGGTAGTTACAATTTTTATTCAGTGGCGGATCTAGCTATTGGGCGACCGCCACCCCCTTGAAAATAAATACTTTGACAAATACTCAATACAGGTAGAACACTATAGATTTCTCTCCTAAAAAATAACACTACTTTCCACTTTTTTTTATAAATCGCCACCCCTGATTTTATTACAAAGAAAAAGAACTATAAGTTTCGTATTATGATCACATAGTTTTCGATGAAGTCTTATTCTATGAATCGGACTTTGTCCATTTAGATTTTTTTCTATGTAATAAATTCTTTTATAAGATTAATAACGTTAAGTTCTTTTTTGTTTTATATGCTTATTATTCTTTTTGCATTCATTTATTGACATAACCAATCCGTATTGGAGTATATTTTTCTTTCCTTGCCATTAACCAATCCAAATAGATGAAAAAAAAGAAAGAAGAAAAAGAAGTCGATAGTCATCATTGATGAAACAATGTACATAAAAGGCAGAAGAAGAAGAAGAAAAAAAGAATCTTGCCTTGACTGTTATTTATATAGTTTTATATTAGTAGGAAAAAAGAGAGAAAAAAAAGGTTAGTTTTCTTCTTTTTTTCTCTTCTCTCTATCGTCGTCATTTCTTTTTACTTGAAGGCAGTAGATGCAATAACGACGAATAGAAACATCGGAACTGGTACGGCATACAACACTATCCATACATTCATCGAACGCCCATTAGCCATTTTTTTTCTACCGACATTATTTCTTTTTTCTCCCTCGCTCTCTCTCACTCCCCTTTCTCGTTTGCATACGATTTGAGTCGAGCGGCGTTTGCATAGCATTACACATTGTACGAACACATCCGCAAGCGGTCGTCTCATGTCATTTCACCACCTTCATCATCATCATCTTGCTGAAAATTCCTGGCAGGTAAATTGGTTTGCTATCGAAACGGATAGTGTCCTGCATACATATATAGACAAAAGATAAGAGAGAAATAATATTTTTATCCATCATGTACAGATGTCATATGTATGTATATATATATGTATGAATAAGAAGATAAAACATCTTATATATATATATATATAATTAATCATACTTGCAATGACTATAAGGATTGTAAATAATATTTAAACTTTGACTTTACAACAAAAACGCAGAAGAAGATAATAATCTATTTAGTCAAACTTTGATATTTTATATTAAATTTTTTGAAATGATATTATAGGATCGATCATATAATTTTGTAAATAATTCAACAGCTCCAAATCGAAATAATACACAAGTATCATCATCATCAACATCGGGCAATGTTGATTTTCAACCACCGTATTTTCCACCACCATTTTCAAATGTATCTCATCATTCTCATCAACATCCATTCGAACAAATTCAATCAAATCATTCACATAATCTTGATTATACATCATCATCATCACCGCCATTTACTGGTAATCAAGCATCACAATCATATAATTCTCTTGTTCGTTCATCAGCTGTTAACATCGATGAAACAATAGCACCATTAAGTCATCCTTATGGTGCATATGCTGCTTCATATTATAGTCGTCATGCAATGGTACTTGATCCAGAATCTTTACAACTTTATCGAAGTGGTTTATTAGGCGCCGATCCTACAAATACAGCCGCTTTTCGAGTATATATATATAACTTTTAAAATCATATTTTGAATAAAACAAATGAATTATTTTAGGTTCCGGGTCTTGATGATAATGTTCCACCAGGACTTTCTGAACATTATCGAACATCATTTCAACGAGGTAATTGAATATAGCATGAAATAAAAAGCAATAACTTATATTTATTTCTGATATAGATCCACGTCGAGTTGATACCAAAGAAGGTATTCAGTTAAATCTAGGTACTGGCAATGGTCCAATAGCTCCAACAGATGTATTTTGTAGTGTACCAGGTCGATTATCATTACTTAGTTCAAATTCGAAATATAAAGTATGTGTTGCTGAAGTTCAAAGACGTCTTTCACCACCTGAATGTCTTAATGCTTCGTTACTTGGAGGAATATTACGAAGGTATTTTCTTTTCTTATATATATACATAAATATATATGATTATTTATTTTAGAGCTAAATCAAAAAATGGTGGAAGAATGTTACGTGAGAAACTTGAAAAAATTGGTGTTAGTTTACCAGCTGGAAGACGTAAAGCAGCAACAGTTACGTTATTAACATCACTTGTTGAAGGTGAAGCTGCACATTTAGCACGTGATTTTCATTATGTATGTGATCAAGAATTTCCTGCTCGTCAATGTGCTGAATATAATAATCGTCAATATCATACAATACATTTACAAGAACCAGGCGGTATAACAAAACGTAAACAAAATATTCTTGCTGCCAAGTAAAGAAAAAATTTTTTTTTTTCATCTTTTAATAAATTCTTTTTCTCTAGACAATTAATAAAAGAATTTACTGATTTAATATCACATGATCGTTCACCATTAGGTACAAATAGTCGTTTAGCACCTGTACTTGATATATCAATTCAAAAACATTTAACCCATTTTTCATTAGTTACACATGGTTTTGGTACACCGGCTATAATTGGTGCAATGTCAGCATTACAAAATTATCTAACTGAAATGAATAAAACATTTGACAAAACCACAACAACAACATCGTCATCATCAAATGATACTAAAAAAGAGTTAGATCTTTTCAATACTAAAACTGCATAGATATTATCCTAATTAAACGTCAGAGAAAACAAAAATAAAGAACTATTATACATTCCAAATTCTTGTATTTGTGCGTGTTTTGCTTTATTTCTGCAGCTTAAAATAAAATAAAAAAATATGCAGAAAAAAAAAACGAATTTTTATTAACAATAGTGCGTACTACTCCGAGCTAAATGACAAATGGTTAAAGATGTGCTGAATATACATATATATATATATACGCCGTTTGTTTATGATAGAATAATGTACAATACCAGTAAAAGAATAGGCAAAAATAAACAAGATCAAAGTAAAAGACACAACGGGTGTATGCATCTGCATACACAACCTTAGGCATTCGATGGTGCCCTTCAGTTAAAAAGAACTGTATATACTTCAACTAGTAGTTGATAACTGTTGAATGATAATAATAGACGGTATTATTGGCTAAATGGAATTAGAAGTATTTTTTAAAGATATTCAAGATGAGATTAAAATCATATATAAACAAATTTCTTGTTGTTTTTTTTGCCGAGAAAATAGCTTATTGTTTAACCAGCTGGATTGATAAGAAATATATATATGTTCAAATGAATGATATTAGTTTTTCAACAATAAAATTTTATAACTAAATCGTTTTTTTTGTTGTTATTGTTAGGCACATTGTCTATTATATGTATTTAAAAATAGAAACATATAACAAAGGGATACGCCTACAAAAAAATCATAAATCCAATGACGTATATAGATTTTTTTCTCGTTCTATCGTATTCAAAAAAATTTGCCTATTCATTATCTTCTTGCTTATTTTTTGCATTCATTTTATCGTTCGTTCCGGTGAATGCACACGTACACACGCATAATTTTATTGATGATAAACGTAAAAGAAAAAAAGATTAAGAAACGAATAATGACATTTAATCTTTGTACTTTTTAATATATTATTTTAGAACAAATGGAATCAACTGATTCAATAAGTCGATCATCATTATTATCATCAATTGGTGAAAATTTAGAAATATTTTCTGTAATTTGGCTTGATTTATCAACAAATAATATCCATGAAAATATCGATATTCAACATCAACTTCGTTCAATAATAAATTATTTAAAACTTTTTGAAGATATTGATGATTGTGAACAATATATCCGATCATTATCAAAAGATGATCGAATTGTTATACTTACAAATGAAAATTTAGCTTTAGATATTACATCACGTATACATCAACTTCGACGTATTTCATCAATCTATATTTATTCAATAGATAATGAAAAAGATTATGAATGGACAAATCAATATAAAAAGGTTTGATTCATTAATTATGAAAACTAACAAAGAAGAATAACTCATTTTCAACAGTAAACCTCTCCCTCCCGTAATAAAAGGGCCAGGCCCTACTATTATGGTTCCACAACTTGCACTTTTCTTTGTGAAAAAATCACCGTACCCCCCTAGCGCGTTTTTTTACTTACTATTTAGAAGCGACTTCTTTTGTGAGGGAGATTTAGTATTACATTATAAGAAATTACTAAAAGCGTGTTCATATAGATAAGATGAATTTTTGTTTAGATTAAATATACGCATAATGATCTGGATGAAGTTGTTGCTCGAATAAAAATTGATCATATAAAACGAAAAAAATTAGAAGAACCATTAATTATCAATGTATTTGATACTAATCAATCCACTGATCGTTTATCATCGAATACAAATACTCAATTTCTTCATTCACAATTATTAATTCATTTTTTACTTAATACAAAATTAACAAACGAACAAATTATTGAAAATAAAAAAGAATTAATTGATCTTTGTAAAACTGAATATCAAGATAATACAAGTCAATTAAAAATTTTACATGAATTTGAATATAATTATTTACCATCAAATGCATTATGGTGGTATAAACTCGATTCATTTCTTTATCAATTTTTATATAAATCATTAAATACAATAAATATTGATTTACTTTATTTATTACAATTTTTTATACATGATCTTATACGACAAGTAAAACAATATCAATCATCAACATTAACACGTGTCTATCGAAGTTATTTAATATCAAATGATGAATTACAATTATTTGAAGAATCTATTGGAAAATATATTTCAATAAATACATTTTTTTCAGCATTTATTAAATCTGACGATGCATTAAATTATTTTAATGATTATGAACAAGATAATAATGATACCCTTAAAAAATTATTATTTAAAATTGATGCTGATCCACGTTTAATGAAAACTAAACCATTTGGAAATATAACTGTTCATAGTCAAACAACTAATGAAGAAGAAATTTTATTTTCATTAGGAAGTATTTTTCGTATAACAAGTGTAAATCGAGGTAAAAATGATATTTATACAATACATTTAACATTATGTAGTGATGATAATTCACATTTGAAAACTATATTTGATCATATTAAACATCAATATGGTGAAAATGATATAAATCTTCTTTCATTTGGTAATGCATTAAGACGAATGGGTAAATTAGATGAAGCTGAAAAATGTTATCAACGTTTACTTCATGATTCAACATATGATCAAGATATCATAAGTCGTACATATCATCATTTAGGTCGATTAGCTGAAACAAAAGGTGACAATGATGTAAGTCTTGAGTATTTACATAAAGCATTAGATATAAAATTAAAAATAATGAAATCAAATGATCCAAGTATTGCACAAAGTTATAATTGTATTGGAATTGTACATCAACAAAAAGGTGAACAAACAAAAGCACTTGAAGCATTTCATAAAGCATTAACTATATGGAAACGTGCATATGGTAAAAATCATCCAAATGTTGCTGGATGTTACAATAATATGGGTGTTGTTTTTAAACGAGAAAAAAGATATCCGGAAGCACTTGAATCATTTCAAAGAGCTTTAGCTATACGTGCAAGACATCCTTCTGCTAATCATCATGATTTAGCTGGATCACATAATAACATTGGTGCTGTTTATGAACGTTTAGGTCATCATGATCTTGCTGTTGATCATTATAATTTAGCGCTTAATATTAAAACAAAATCTCTTCCACCACAACATCCATCAATAGCATCAACACTTGAAAATATGGGTTATGTTTATGAGAATAGAAAAGCATATATACAAGCATTATCATATCTTGAAAGAGCAGCTGCAATCTATCGTCATTCATTACCTCCGACACATCATGATGTTATGAAAATTGAAGAAAGTATTCGACGTGTATCATCAAAACTGCAATAATACGATTTTTTTTGTTTTCTATATATTTTTTATTAATTTAATAATACTGCGTCAAAAATGTGTAATACTATTTTCAATATACTCAATGTAACATAACTAAATCATCTCCTAAGGTTATTCCTTATCCTGCAGGTAACACAAACGACTAATTTCAATCGTACGATACTTAATAAGTCTTATTATATGAAATAAAGAGATTTCCCTCAAGCTTCTATTCTACGCATGAGTTCCGATAAAAGATCAATATTTTCTTAAAGAAATCTCTACTCTAAAGTTATTTCCTTTTATCTTCTTTCTTTAAGTATTCGATTCACTACTGAATACAAAATAAGTGTGCAATCAACACAGCGGATATTAACTCTGCCTTGTTGTTTGTTACTATACTGAATGACCTATTTTCATTTACAGTAAAATCACATCTATCGTCTTTCGTTTTATGATTTTTCATCAACTAAATATTTATGATTATCAAAACAAATGATTTTTATGCACATATTTAAAAAGAATCAAGCACATGAGAACAGAAAAATATTAGGTAAGAATAAAAAGGATAGAAAATCTAGCACAAATGACAAATAAAACATATTTGAAAAAGAAGGCATTAAAAAAAAGACACTCACTATTGACATCTACTTATACGAATATAAATGACAATTACATATTATGTGCACATTATTTAATGATAAGAAGAAGAAGAAAAAAAAGCTCTTTCTTATGTGTTCATTTAAAAGAGAAAACAAGATTTATCATTTACACATTACAAAAAAAAAAAGTATAGAAAAACATATAAACATATTTAATTCGTGTTCATAACTACTTGTTCTGCTTGCTTATTGGGATCAAGATCAGTTGCGAGACGAATAGCCGCGAGAAGAGCCTAGATAAAAATTTATATGAATAAATATTTAGTCAAATAATAGAGCAAATTTAACATACTTCATCAGGATCCATCGTAGGTGATGGTTCGCGTGGCGCCGGCGGACGAACTGGTGGTTCGGGCTAGAAGAACATGACATAAAAACATCGACAAAATATATATATAATGACTTACTGGAACATTGACATAAGTAACCGGAGGTGGTGGTGGTCGTTTTGGTTTAACTTCCTAAATATTAAAGAATATAATATATGATAACAAGATAAAATTTTTACCGGTGGTTTTTGAATTACTTCACGTTCTGGTTTTTTATTCACACGTGCATATTCCGGATCTTTAATAATTGGTCGTCTCGGATAATCATCTTCATTTTTCTAAATACAAAATAAACTCGAATCAAATAGGAAATTCTAAATCCCCTGAAACAGCAAATTCATGCATTTCCATTATCCAAAAAAAGTCTGTTTTTTTATTTCCATCATGCCTATTACCTTAAGAATCTCTATCTATTTCTATAGAAAATTAAGATAATATAAAAGATAAACGAAGAAAAACGAAAAAACATACATCCGGTATTGGTACTCTATTATGTGTTTCAAAAAATGGTTCAACACTTTGAGGACGTGGTAAAGGTCGTTGAACAGCTGGTCGACTTGGACGCGTGACTTCAGGAGCAGCTAAATATGAATAACGAAAAAAGAAAGAATAAGTATAAGATTAATATTTGCTATTATTTTCAAACAAAAAGAAACAATCAGTGTATTTAATAAGCAAGGAGTCAAAATATTGCAAAAAGAAACAACTATCACCTGTATTAGAATTGTTTACTAAATAAAATTTGTTCGTTTTTTTTATAAAAAACAAAATAATTTCATTAAAATAATTTACTTACAAACATCAAGACTTTTTGTCATTCGTTTACTTATTGATCTTTCGAAATCTGGATTAGGTCTATCAAGTAATAGTTGTCGAGCTTGATGATACGTATATGTTCCTGTATAACGAAAAGTTGAATTAAATCGTGGTAAAATTGGTTTTTTGCGTAATTCTTCTGGTCGACGAAGGCTTAAAAAATACAAAAAAATTAAATATGGAAAATTTCGTTTTGTTTTTTCCTCATACCGAAAGAATGCATGATGTTCAACAGCTATTTTCCATAAAGATTTTGCTGCACGATATGTAGGTAATTTAAAACCAATTGTACTTTCATATCGATCAAACTAAAAAGCGTTTTAAAATAGTAAAATTTTGTTTTTCCTATGACAGATAAAAATACGAACTTCACTTGGACGAAGTTTAATAAAAAAATATCGTCGTTTATATGATATTTTTAAAATTTTTGGCCAAGCAAAACGATTGATACGTAATTTATCTCGATAAATTAATAAACCATTTGCTGATACACCAATATTTATATCAACATTTTCCGAATCCTGAAAAAAGCGAAAGATTTCATTCAATAAAAAATCTAAATCTTCTATATTTTACTTGTGCTGGATGAATATCAACACCATACATCGCTAATTTTTTTGCATTTTCAAGAAAATGTAAATCCGCTGCACTTGGTGGTTGACCTCTATTAATAAAAAAAAGACAATCAAAAAAATTATTATTGAATAAATAATATATACTGATGTCGTCTATGTTGTTCATGTATACGTCGTAATAATTCATTATCTTGTGAAGGTGCAAATTGAAGACCTTTTAAATAATCAAATGTTGTTCCATGATCCTCTTCAATATAATCTCCTAATTCAGCTTGTGCTGTATATGAACCCAATAGAGCATAAGTTACAAATGAACATGGTAATCTTTTAGAAGAAAAAAATTGATTTAGATAATTTTAGAAATAGGATTTCGATTATTCGACATACTTTCCCGACATCATATCTTGTCGTAATTGAAGGCATAGTTGGTACCTATTCGAAAAAAAAACATCATTTTTAGGTCAAAAAAGGTGAGCTCGACTTATAGTATTTCAACGTCTAACTCCATGTATTTTTTTTTATGTTGAATAACATCGGTCGACTCAGAGTAGCCAAGAGTATTTATATGAACAGTCAGAAATGGACGGTTAAAGTTCTGAACTGAGATTTTCGGTGAAAACTAAACATCCGTAAACTCTAAATTTTGAGCTCACTTTTTTTGAGCTCTTCGATTTTAGTCTTTACATTTATTGTTTTCTCTTTTTTTTGCACAAAATCAATTATAACGTCTACTTGAATATTCTAAAGTATACTTGAACTATAGAATAATTTATTCTATTCTAACTTAATTCTATTACAATAAATATGCCATTGATTTTATTTAGTTGGAGTAAAAATAGCATCGATATTATGTCGTAAATGTATTCGAAAGAAAGAACAAAGTGAATTTATATAATTTATATTCTTTTGCTATTGAAACATGAAAGTATTGCTCTTAATGTATATCATTTAATAAAAAGCTTTCGTTTCGTTCTGAAAAGAGTAGGCGTAATGTGAACTGCAGGTGGTCCAAGTCGTCTCTTCACTTTTACAAACAAAATAAATATTTATCGATGAAAGAGTATTTTGAAAATTGGAAGAATTATTTATCGCGAGATGTTTGACATTACTTAACGTGGAAACAACCTTTATTTATATTTGATTAGTTAAGTAAATAAGAAGGAAGAAAAATTATTTATTTAGATAATACGAACCTAGTAAGATCTTCTTGAAGTAAAGCAGGTTCAGGTGGATAAAATTTAACTTGTAAATAAAAAACAGGATCAACACCTAAATTCAAATCATTTATTATATAAGTCTTTAATTCATAAATTATCCTCTAACCTTTCAATTGACTTCGTACACGTTTATCATTATCCATCCATGCCTAAAGATTTCAATAATAAAATAAATTCAATAAAAAAATGTTTAAACAAACTCGATTATGTTCATTATTTGAAAATGTTAATCCAAAATAATCTTTTTCTTCAAGATGTATTAAATCACATACACGTTCATACAACATTTTGCCCGTATCATCTTTCTATACAATAAACAATATTAATTTGAATATATATATATGTATATTACGTACTCCTAAATCAATCAATTCTTCACTGTCATCTAATAAAACTATTTGAGCTTTGGTTTTATTCGATCCTGTGCTAACATTTCGTTCATTAGAGAATCTTGTTTGACTTTGACTTTTTTTACGATCTTTTTCTTCTTGTTTACGTGCTTTTTTTTCATCTTTTTCTCGTTGACGTTCAAGACGTTTTTCATTTTCCTCCTAAAATAAACACTTAAATAGAAAATAAAAACAAATTCAAAATTTTACTTCTTTTTTTCTTGATTTTTTATCATCTTTTCTTATTGTTGGATAATTCATCATCGATTGAGGTACATTATTATTATCTAAAGGTGGATTTTGTTGATCATCATCTTCTTCATCATATCGTACTGAACCACTTAAACGATCGGTATCGAAACTATCAGCATCATTTATAGAACCAACTTGCAGCTAAAAAAGAGTAAAGATATTGAAAAGACTAAGACAAACATGTTTTTGTTTTTAATTTACGTGCGATAAACCTCGTCCAGCTGGTTGAATATAATCTGTCATAACAAATACAGATGACCTTGAACGAAGTGATAGATTCGATTTATTTCGATCAATGTATCGGATGTAAATGATCAATAGAGAAGAATTTTTTTTTTGACAATCATATTACCAATAAAATTAATCTTTTACATTTTCATCGAAGAATAAATATTTTTATGTTATTAAATTGAATATTAGTTGTTTTTTCTAATTTTAAATAAAAAATAAATTAATTAGTGTTTGATAGATGTCGCTAGATTACAATTAAACTTGCGGATATTCGGATGATTAGTTAACTTATTGAATATTTATAAAGAAATGAATGAATACTACTTTCCAATTAAAAAATAATGAGGATTACGCTTGAGGAATTTATCTTTGGATATAAAAAAAAATAAATCATCTAGTAAATTTGCTTGCTCTGTATTCATATTCTCCAGATCTATATTATATATCTTTACCTGTTTTCAGTGCGTTGATTCTATTAAATTGATTATCAGTACTTTTGTGTTCATTTAAGTGAGAGAATTCTATATAAGCATTTTATCGCTCACCAAGCGATGGCGATTTATAAAAAAAGTGGAGAGTATAGTATTATTTTTTTAGAAGAGAAACCTATTTTCAGTATTTGTCGAAGTATCTATTTTCCGGGGGTGACGGTCGCCGGTTCACCTAATAGCTAGATCCGCTCCTGTCGTTCATGATATCAATCAAAAGAGTATCATATTCTAGGTAAAACAATTCTAAAATCTTATTATATTACGTAGAAATCTAATATAACAGGATATAGTTTTTTTTCCTTTTATAAAATGGAATATCTCGTCTGCACTTTAGTTTATAAGAAACATGGATTTTGTTATAATGTATTCAGTCCTTAGATTTACCTTAAATCAAATAAGATGTAATTATTTTCTTTCTAATATTATTTCTTTTCAGATAAGAAAGCGTATATTTAATACATACAAATATGTATACCTTTTTACTAATCTTATTATTTTTCGTACCTATATTTTATGCTGAACAATATCAAACAGAATTAAACAAGAATCAAGAGATATATCTACCACGTTCAGCAGCTGCTAATTATTTATGTAAGAAAAAATATGATACTAGTTTCTTTTTTTTATAAATTATTTCTTTAGTTGATTTACCAGTACGTCGGAGTCAAAATCAATTATTAAATGCAATAAAAGATAGTTCATTATTATCAGTATCAACAGATGGAAATAATCAACAACAACAACAACAACGTGGAAAACGAATCTATTGGGAAGATCTTGCATTTCATGCAGTTGATTATGACTACAAAATTAAAAAAAGCAACAAATTTTGAATAGATATATTTTTTCTCGTATGATCTAATATTAATAAAAAAAATATCTGATGAATAATATGTTAATTTAAAAGAATGAAGGTATATATAAATAGAATTATTCGTTCATGTAGATGTTAAATAGTAAGTGCATATAATGCTGATACGATAAGGAAATACTTTTTTCTTCATTCAAGGATAAAAATCATGCCTATAAAGTAATTCATTTTCTTAAGCTTTTTGTTATTGCGTTGTAAAGAAATAGAATTATATCTGACATTAATAAATTGATATTAGAGTAATTTAGTTATTAGTTAGCATTTCTAAATAATAAATTTTCTATAGTAACAAACCTTCAAGGTCAGCTAGAATAAATTAAAGAAGATTAATTATTGATGTTACATGAAGAAACCCAGAAGAGTAATTCTGTAACTGACGCGAATAAATTAGTTTGTTCAATGTATCTTAACTTACGCAATCATGAAGGTTACTGAAGTTATAAAAGTTTATTATAGATTAAAGTTATTCTTCCATTATAAAGTGTATGTCATCGTTAGGTTTCATTGTAACTATATCAATTTTCACTAAAATATACTTTAAAGAAAAGCTAAATATATTGTAATACGATCTAACAAAAAACGAGATTAGTTTTTAAGTTTTAATGGGTATAATTCTCGAAGCATTAACTGTTGAATTTTGTGGTAATATTAAATTTTGTTTGCAAAAGATTTTTTTAAATTCTTGTCGAATTTCACTTGACATTAGAATATAAATATAAAATGAACAGACATAATTTAAATAAAATAAAAGCCGAACAAGTTGAAGAATAAGACTTTCTATTGCCAAACGAAGAGGATCTTTATGTATTGAACTTGTTGATATACTATAAATTGTATTAATACTAAACGGTATTCCTGATATAATAATGATCATTAATTGTGGTATTAACATACGTCGAACTTGTTTTACTAAACGATTTCTTGTTTGATTATAACCAACAATTCTCGATTGTTTTAAATGACGTACAATGCCTCGATTAAAATAAATAATCGCTATAATAGGTAGTATACTATAGGTTAATGGAATAATACCATATGAATAAACAGAACTTAAAATAATGTTATTGCCAATACAAGATTCACCAACAGCTCGACTGACCATATTTACTGGAAGAAAAACAATCAACCAAAATATAACTGTAATCAAGATTGCACGATAAATTAATTTTTTTGATGTCCAATAGTGTCGTATTGCAGCATTGCTAGATGTACTAATAAAATGATCAAATGATGCCCAACATGGAAAGGATATAGAACATAATGTTGCAACAGATGCTATTGTAATACGAATTTGACATTGAAGAGTACTCGAGTTAATAATTGGAATTCCAAAACCATCACCGAGAATTCGTGGTAAAAGTGTTTGAAAAAGTTGAATTAAACTAGCTACAGAACCAGCTAATAAATAACGAACAGAAGGAGCATTACGAAATGTAGCTCGAGTAAATATATATATTGTTAAAAAATTACCAGTAACACCAAATATAAACAGAAGTAAACCAACAACAATATTAAGAAAATGAGACGTTAAAGTAAGTTGTTCAATAATATTAGACATAACTAATATGACACACAAAGAAAATGAAAGTAGGTCTTTATGATTTTTTCATGATTATATAAAGTTGGGAATAAGGAAATGAGGTCGTGATAGAAGCAATGGAAAAAAAACGGTGTGGGTGTTGTAGAAGCCTTGTCAGACAATTTTTAATTGGATTAATTATGTTATCTTATACAAATTTGTTTAATGATCCTTATTTTTCCATGATATTTCAATGTTCATATCAATCTATTGTATTCTTTTCAGAATAAAATGACGTCGTTACTTGTAGAGAAGTAGATCGAAACTTTCTGAGCAGATACATTTGATAATATCATCACCGATATTGACATAGTCAGTCGTTTTTGAATGACCGACAGCTGTTTAGTTGAATTCTTGTAACAAACAGTTGTTATTACATTCAGATAGCCTGTGGGCAATAACTATGCATATCTCAAAACAAAATCTGAAAGCAATTGCTACACTTCTGTTCATAAATATGAACAATATTATTAATAAATTTCGAATCTTTTAGCGCATCTTTGATTAAAAAAAAATAATTTTGTTTTATGACTGAAAAGATCTCCAATTCATTTTTATGTTGGTATTGTGAAAAAAATTTAACGGACAACCGTTATGTAATTCGAGATGGTTTTGCTGTTTGTTTGTCATGTTTTGAAGAAAAATATTCGAATTATTGTTTTAAATGTAAAGAAATAATTGGTATTGAAACACAAGTATGATTATTTCGAAAGAAAATATTTCATATTTTTCTTAATTTAGGGATGTATATTTCAAGATATAACATGGCATAATACTTGTTTTAATTGTTCGGTTTGTAATAAATCTTTAATAAATGATAAATTTGCATATCGAAATGAAAAATTATACTGTCGTAATTGTTTTATTATTGAATACGCTGAGCGATGTTATCGATGTAATCAAACATTAGAACCGGGTTAATATTTTCATGAAGATAAATTTCTTATTTCATTAAATATTCTATATTAGGTGAGAAATGTACAGAATATGATAAAAAATTCTACCATCAATCTTGCTTTGTATGTAATGGATGTCAACAATCATTATCAAATGTAGATTTTCGTTGCCGTGATCAATATTTCCTTTGTATTTCATGTTACATGCATCTCGTTGCTATTTATTGTATTAAATGTCACAAAGTATTGAATTCAATTCTTTTTGTTTTAGTTCTCTTTAATTAACGAAATACGATACAGATGTATTACTATTGAAAATATTAATTAGAATGATTTTAATTTACTGAAGTCTACCGAGAGCAAATATTTTTGAAACTTAATAGGAGTAATTTTTTTTGAAGGATGCAGACATAAAAATGAAATACCTCGGATATTAATAAACTTATACGTTCAAAAGACATTTTCTTATCGCAGAATATTTGATATTTATAAATAATTTTTAAAAAACCTTTGATTTAATTATACACACTGAATAGGCAATTGTCAGTGATGGTGTACTCTATCGCAATCATCCATTTCATAATGAATGTTTCTTATGTACACATTGTTCAACTTCATTACGGAATCAACGTTTTGCTGAACACAAAGGTGATGCTTACTGTTCAGTTTGTTTTGCAAGTTTATTTTCTAATCAAATGAATACAACTTAATTTTTTATAAATAAAAATAATTGAATTCATATTTGTTTTTTATTCTCATGAAACCGGCATTTAGTTTCTGAACTAAAATTTTCAATAGAACATATTGCGATAATAAACAGAAAAAAAAGTTATTTACAATAAAAAAGAAAACGATAAAACAAAGCACCACAATGATATTCATTCGACTTTTATTTTAATTAGTAAATAATGGTACGGATGATGGTTGAGAAGAAGAAAGTATAGTCGATGAAGTAGCACATTGTGTTTTTAGATTATTTACGGCTAATGAAGGTGTTGATTGACGAAGATGATGTTTAGGTTCAATATTTAAATTTGAATAAATACCAGTTGAAGAACTTAAATGATGATTGTCAGTATTCGAGAATGTTAATGGAGATGAAGGTATACTTTCATCTTCACTTTCTTCATAGTCTATTCGAGTAGGATCTGTTGATATCGATTGTCGACGTTGTAATGTTTGCATTAATCGAAGGCCTACAACCTAAAAATATAGATATATTAGTATTTATTCGATTAATAAAATTGAAAAATAGTATTATTAATTAGTACATAGCATTTATGCTTCATAATAATTACTTTAGGAAAATATGACACACACTTTAATAGCCTATAGGTAATGAATTACTACGTCTGAAATACTCTCGTTGTGGCTGTAATAAATAAATAATTTTCTTCGAAATCGAATATGAAAATTTCAATACAAACCTCATCTTGAAGTTCAGCAAATTTATCTTGAAAATCACCATCATCCATGATTTGACCACGACTTATTAATTCTTGATTCTATAAAACAAAGTAAAATATTTAAAGAATTTAATTTAGTCTTCTTCTTACTAGAATTTCAAGTTCAGCTATTCTTTGACGTAAATCGCCGACAGTTTGAGTACTTTCCGCTTCTCGAATACGTAACATCATTGAATCTTCTTTTTGCTAGAATAATTAAATAAACATAAAAATTTCTTTTACTAATATTTTATTAATTTACTCTTAGTACTCCATCATTCATTTGATTTTTAATATCATTTATTTGTATACGAAATTCATTCTCACGTATTCGACATTCATCAAGTTCAAGACGAATACGTTGTAATTCATCATCTTGTCGTTTAATTTGATTATGTAAAACTTGTTTTTGTGTTTCAATATCCATGATTTTTTGTGAAAGAAGTTTATTATCACAATCTGTTTGAGCTTCACGCATTTTTAATGTTATTAATTCATGTGCGATTAAATCATAAGCATCGTTATTATTATTTGAATGATTTTCCATTGCACGATCTGTTTTACATTCACTGTCGTGTAATTGCCATTCACGATTTAAATCAGCTATACGTTGACGAAGTTCATTCATATTCATTTGAGCTTCAGCATCGCGCATTTTAACAAGTGTTAATTCTTCTTGTAATGTTGATATTTCTATATTAGGTGTCGATTGTAAACGACGATTTTCCTTCAAAAGAGATTAAAATAATGAGAATTATGTAATAATAATACGAAAGATTCTTACCATAGTCAATCTATTAACTGTTTCACGTAAAACATCTAATTCATTATTATTTGATGTTACGAGAAAATCTGATGAATTTAAATTTTTTGTTTCAATTGTATTATTATTAATATAAGTATTATGATTATTATTGATATTTAAACAATTGATTTCATCAATCTGTTTTTTTAAAGTACAATTTTCTCGTTTTAATTGATAAGATTCTTCAGCATATTGTGCATTTAATACTTGACCTTCAATCAATCGATTTGCAAGTGTAGCACTTTCCTATTGAAAACAAAACAAAATATGTTACATATGTTTTGTTAGAAAATAATGATAAAAAACAATTAGTTTTTACTTTTTCTAAATTTTCCACTCGTTGTTTTAATAAACGATTCTCATTTCGTAATTTCTATTGAATATAAAATTGAAATAGAACATGAGGTAATAAAATTCAAGTACATACACGTATTTCGATTTGTTCTTCTTGTTCTTCTTTACGAATAACTGTATATTCTTTTTCTAATCTAATATAAAATGAATAAATAATATTCTAGTAAACATCATTTAATATACAAATGTATATATTTACATACTTTTTCATTTTTTTACCATTATATTGTAATGTAAATGCACGTTGAAGTAATGTTTCAGGATCTGTCTCATGCTTAGCAGGTACCTCTTTTTGAAAATACTAAAACAAATAATTGATTGAGTACTCATTTAAATAGAATTATACAGAATGAAATGTGTACTTATTTTCAGACATCAAGGTTACTATACGGAGTAAATTTCGAATATGAACGTATATTTTCAAATGATATCCTTACCTCCTTAAGCAATACTATACTATTATTGTTATTATTATTATACAACTAAATTTCTTTTCTATTAACAAATATTACGATTTGTTTTCTGACGTTGTTATAAATTTTTTAGATTTTTGAAAACTTACTGATGTAACAGCGGATACAGAACCTTGAACAGTTTTGAACGTTTGTGCACACTGTTCGGCGAGACGATCTTGAACAGCGTGTAACCGACGATCCATGCGTATAAATCAATGTATGTTGATGAGACGCAAAGATCGATATGGATGCCTATTTCTTCTCTCTTCTTTTTTTTTATTTGTGAGTTGCAAATGTCTCCACCTCGTTTGGACAGAACAAAATGTGTGCACACACACACACACACCACACACACAATGGTTGCAGCAGCGGTGGTGTCATTTCATTCTCTTTCTCTCCTCTTTTTTTTTCCTCTACTCGCATTTTTTTTTATTCTATACCTCAATGAATCGAAACATATACGTACTTACACAACTGACTTGATTCAGCACACATATAATACATTATATTATATTATATATATATATAAACATACATATGCATGTATATAATATACCACACAGAACGGTTCGTTAGTACTTATTCTATTTTGTTCTTTTCAATGTGTACTTCTCGTTTTTGAAAAGAAAATACCAGTATGTGAAAGGTGTAAAATAAAAAAAAGGAAAGAATAGTACGTGCAATGATATGACAAACAGCTGACGCGTGAGCTTGTTACTGTCGACTCATCTATTACATCTTTGTGAAAGAGGGAGAGGAAAAGATCGACTATACATATACAAATGACGATAGTTGCTCGATTGATTATGACATGCACGTATGCATATATAAGTTTCTCTTTTTCTTTCAAAACGATGTTCAAAAGGTTACCTTAAGCATATCTTCCATCGATAAAAGCATTAATTCATCTTGATGAATTTCAAGTAGACCGATACCAATACGAAAGATCACTTCCATACCCTATTGTATACATATATATTTATAATGAGAAAAAAAAAAGAAATATGAAAATTTATATTGAATAATCTACCTCACTTAAAAATAGATCCATTGTACGACAAACAATATTTAATGGTAGTTGTGTTGTAAACAATGTTAGAAACCAACTAGATGCAAACGTTGACGTATGAAAATTTTCTGCTTGAAAATGTCGATAAAGATCAGGTAAATTTTCCTATTATAATGATCACTCATCAATCAAGTCAATGAAAAAATATACAAACATAAATAACATACTTGAATCATACATTCAAGTTGATATATACAAAGACCCAAATAAAACATGTCAGGTTTATACATATCACGCATTGTATAATCTTGCATAATAGATACTAATACTGCAAATGCTTCTTCTTCTGGCATCTATTTTTATCAGAAAAAAAAAATATTCAAAAATATTTTTTTTCATTTTACTGACATGCATAAGTAAAAGTCCAACAATAAAACCAATACCTTGACAATAACCAACTTCACGATCATATAATGAATAAGCCTAAAATAGAATTTCTTTTCATTATCATCCTATTTTATAATCATCGAACCTTCATCACATTAAATAAACTTTCTTGACCAAGACCATGTTTTTGTTTAAAAAAATCATGTTGTGGATATGTTCGTGATATATCTCTTCGAATAACTTTTTCACATGGTGATGTCATTTTCATAAATTCAGCATATTTATATTTTGCATTCGATGTTTCAACTTTAGTTAAACATTGCCAAAGTAATGGACGAAAATGAACTGGTACACCAAATCGAATAACATCCTAAATAAATCTTTTTATTTTAATCTAATTTTTAAATAAATAAAAATTTTACTTTAATCCATATCGGATTTTTTTTCATAGTTATCGTCCAATTATTAATTATTCTATTCCATACAACCAATTCATTTTCCAAATTACCTTAAATAAATATTTATATAAAATTATTTGTGATTTTAAGATGAATTTTCTACCATCTTTATCAATAGTTAAATTATTGATTTCAGCAGAAATTGAATCTAGTTGTTGTCCTTGGTTATGATGTAATTCAGGTGAACGTGTATTTGTTATCGGATTAAGTATTGCACTTGTAGGTGATTTCAGATCATATTCGATACGTCTTTAAAAAGAAAAGAAGAAAAAAGATATAGCTCAATAGAAATTTAAGTAAAATCAAATAAAAATATTATAATATTTTGTTACCTATTCTCTTCTTCTAGTCTTTTCAATAATTCAATTTCATCATTGGTCATATCAGCCATATATATATCCTTTGATTGTGTCATTATTTGGTATTTGTCTATAGAGGAATAATAATAATAATACCGAATATACAGTAATCAATGATTATATATAATAGAAAAACGTGGAGGCTGAAGATGAGTAAATGATATGAAGAGTTGCATATATATCATCAAATGTGTGAGTAAACGTTGTCAGGTTTTTCCTTTTTTCTTTTTTTTCTCGTTCCTTTTTCTTCTCGTCTAACTAAACAAAATTAATTGAATTGTGTCAATAACTTCCATTTGTATCTTTTACACGACGTAGACTTGTCCTTTAAATCATTTTATGTTTCTTTAGACATCCACCTACTTAATTAACACATTTGTTTCTCATCTATGCTTATTATGTACTTTGATTAGAAATAAAATACTATACAATCTTATATATATATATTATAAATAAATATTTATATTATTGCGTATAAATATATATGTAAGAAACGAATAGGAAAGTTCAATAAATAACAAAATATGTGTTTCTAATGAGTAAAATAATTTGTCAATCGTATCGACCATTTGAATGATGTAAAAGAAAAAAATCCCAATGTCAAATAGGTTTTCAATACATTTCACCTGATTCAAATATCCTTACCATGATAGATGGCGACGAAGAGTAGAAAGAGAAGAAGAAAAAAGAACGTAGTCTTACTTGCATTTATATTTCTTTTTTTTTACCTTCAAATGTCGCCTTGCATTTCAATTCTTTTCCCTTATTTTTACGTGAAACGGTCCAACTAGCGTTAGTATCATAGCAATTCTATGCTGTTTCCTTCATAACTTTCTATAATATAAGCAAAAGAGAAGAAAAGAAGAAAAAAAAAGAATAAGATATTTATGTAGATAAATAAAATTCTTTAACAAACAAAAATGTTTCGTATTTAACAGTCATTCCGATTAGTATTTATTATGAAATATCTTGTTCGATGTGAAAAATAATTCCAAGATTTTGATTCACCATGATTATAATCGAAGGTGTATTTATTTAGAAAAAAAATAAAGTATTAGATTATTAGCATAATGTAAATCAGAAAATAAACGAATCATAAACAATCGTATTTGTTTTTGTTATTCAAACAAAAATAAGGTCATCTGTTTATGTTATTTATGACAAAGACGCATAAATACGGAGTGAATCAAAAGGGTGGTGACGCTGTAATTTTAAATAGTAACGACAACGAATTTTATACTAAATTAAAGTGTATCAAAAATGTGATTTATCAGTATTGAATAGCACATGTGATAATAACTTCTTAGTATCACATTCTAGAATTTAACGCCTATTAATACAGAAAAATTTTCTTACGTAAACCATGTCAAACTGAATCTAATTTAAAATAATTGACACGTAGTCCGGAAACTAAGGAATAATAATTAAAAATGAAGTGAGAAGAGATACTATTAGAAATGAGATATAATTATTATTATACAGAGGCTTTGATAAATCTAAAAATAAATTCTTAGTTGATTAGAAATTTTTCATAATAATATTTATTGTGTTTTTATATTGTAAAGAATTTTCATAATTATCATTCCATTTGCTACTAAAAGCTAACGAGAAGACTCATAAAAAAAACAGTGCAGTTTTACAGCCGTTTTATGTAAATTTTGATCGACGTATACGAAAAAGCCTTGAAAAAAAAAGATAAAAATGAAGTATTTATGTGAAATATTGAATTACTTTGCTCAGATGATAATGTATTAACAATATTACGGTAGATATAGACATGAATGATTAAAGAGATTTTTTGAGTATGATATTAAAAATTTAGCATAATCTCATTATAGACATAGTTTAACGCTTTCGAAACGATGGATCCTACTAGTCAAATCCAACATATTTTAACAAGAAGCTCAATACAAAAAACATTTTGTTTTCTTGGACAGGAAGTCACACCTAATGTATTATCTGATTTGTATTGCACAGCATGATGTTGCTTATTAAAAAATGTTATAATTAGAATAGAAGGCTTTTATTTGTATTACTGTCGCATTACTTATTTCTCTTTATTGTTTTTGTCTGATCTTATCAAACCAATCAGCACAGATTCTTCGAGCTTGTAATCAACAAGTTTACGCTTCATTTGACTTGCTAACTATTGTCTCAAACCAGGTTTCATATTCTTGAATAGTGCATCATCGCGATATCCATCACACTTATTGAACGTAATACTTTGTATATAACATCAAAACGTCTCGTTTCTCTTACAATTTGATCAATTTTTTTCTCAAGTCCACAAATTTCACTATTCCAATGAGTGAGAAATTATTTTACAATAGATTTTTTGTTATTTACTACAATTCGATAACATCCCAAAAGATTGTTTGAGCTGTATAATTATACAAATAAGAAAAAGAAAAATGAATGGTTGCTCACACTTGCAGATCGACTCGAAAGGATTAATTACATTGATTTATTTACTTTCATAGCACTTGAATTTTTCTCACAAGCTGTTTTCTTTTGTTTATTTGTTTGTATTAGATTTCTTTATTATATGAAAAAATATTTATAATTTATCTATAATTTGATAGACCCCATAAGTGGTAGACGGCAATAGAAAGATCTCAATTTGAGATTTGATACTTTAAACTAAAATAGAGATACACTAAATGCAAACTGAAATTCTCTTTTTTGACAGTCATTATTCTAGCAGGATCTTGAATCTCTAGAATAGAAAGGAAATCTTGACATAAAAATTTCTCTTGATATTATCTATGACACATTGCTAAAAGATAATTATATAAATTAAATGATCTAAAATCATTATCAATATTAACTCTAGTTTTGAGATGTAAAATATCCTGAAACCATCTTAAGATTCGATGAGCTCAGATACCGAATACTTTTAAGTACGATTGAAATTTAACAAGGATGTCTTTTGTTTTGAGTATTTTTAAAAAATTATCAGTAAGTTTTTTGTAATTTCTTTTCTATAAAATCGTGATTTAATTAAACACAAAATCGACGTCTTTTTGTGTGATTACAAAAGTTTCACATTGTATGTAATCTAAAAGTAGAAAAATTTGTAATCAAGAAAGTATTTAATTACATAATCAAATTTTACCTTGGAGAAACTTAATCATTAATGTTATGTAATAGTGAAAATGAATACATCAAAAAGTCTTCTGAATAAATACATTTGCATAAAAAGAAAGTTATGATATTTTTTCGTCTTCTTTAAAAAGAATTATTTAATGTAAAAATTCAAAAAAATAAAAATATTTACATATTTCAAACGAGGTTTAAAACACTTGCACGCAGAGACAACTTTGCTGTGTATGTGTTGCAGAAGAAATTAAAATGCAGAAAGGTTTTATATTGTCCTACATTTTAATTTCTTCTGCAGCATATATATATGAATTAGAGACAAAGATAATCTTTAAGGACAATAATCGAGAAAAAAAATACGGAAGAATCAAAAAGTTCTAAATGGAAAGAACATCACATGTATTTTAAATAGTTCTTGGTGAGTTCATGTGTATGTAAAACCAGATCGGTCAGTTGTTTGTTCAAGAATTTGTTTTTATGCTTTAATGATCAGCTACCTAGCAGCAGGATGAGAGTAAGAATAGATGTCTAAGTCTTCCCGTTACACTTTCCTTGGCTACTCGGTACCTGTATAAACCGAACAAAGCAAAATTTCCGTACTTCACTGCACTTTACCATACTTCAAATTATAAAATGCGTCGAAGTACTGTGAAGTATTTGGACTCTTATTTTGGATAAACCCATATCTAGTAATTTCAAGCTAGTACTTCTGTGATACACATCTACGGTAGATTTGAACATAATTTTGAAAGGCCCTTGAAGTAGCACAGAAATTTAACTTTTTTTCTCCATATAATTACATGATTTCAGCATATAAAATAAACTTTGATAAAAGACGGCGCAGTTTACATGTCGTATACAACTATTCTAACCAACGTTCTAGGTAATTTTAATAGATGAATAAGGGTTATAATGTAGAAGGATTTACTATATCTATGTTACCTTCACACTCATTAGCTACACCCGTACTTACACTTTATCTAATGCATTTAATTTATTAAAATTTATTAAATGAGTCGATAACTATTTTTATTCTTCTATAATGTTTGATTGATATACTTGTACTATTTTTTTGTTGTATTTGTGCAGAATTGGCGAAGAAGAGTATGAATGCATCGATTATTTATATATTTACTTTTTCCACATTCTCAATGTAATTGGTGTCAATGATTAACAATTAGAATAACAATCAATAGTATATTTTACATAATGGATACTATACGAAACAGTTTTATATAATTCACAGCTTTTCTCGATATCGATCAAAATAACGAAAAATATTTCGTCTTTAATATCATTCAATTGTAATCGTATATGTCAGTATATAGTAACACACAATCGTACTTCGCGATTCTGTATCTCTACTAAGAATCGTTCTCGATCATACAAAGTCAACGTCAATATATTTTAATATTTCGTACGCAAAAACGCGACCTTGAGAGAATATATGAATGCCCTTATAATTTTCGCATCTGGCCGAATGTTTTTGATAACCTTTAACGATGGTCACATACGAAAATTGTACTTTTTTCAAAGCTTTATTTTTAATTGATAGTTTTCTTCAACTCATTTGATCAAAATTATAGTTTGACCATGATTGTGGATTGCTTTTGTAATTTTATACATTTTTTTCTACGCAAAAAAGATTATTTAATAATTAAAAACAAAACAAAAACAGCACCTGAAAACTGAAAAATAGTATCAGGTGATATATTCAATCCCAGTGTAGATCAAGTATAAAAGGCATTACTGATCTCCAACTTCATCACTTCTTCTGCTAAACTTAATACGAAAACCCTTCCTTTCAAACATGCGCTTCTTAGTTGCATACGCTCTTGTACTAGTTGGTATTGCTTTTGTGCAAAGCAAACCTGTCAGTCGTGCCGGTGTTGATTTCTCTGCAATGATCAATCAACTCGGTGGCTTGGACGGAATTCATGCTTTATTTCCACAATATTCAGTAATATCGAATCACAGTATTTGTTTGTTTCTAATAAAACTATCTTTTTATTTATTTTATTAGGATTTCGTAAATCGACTCGTCGCTGCTGCCTATCAAGTTGGTTCTAATATTCCAGATACGGACTTATATGTACTTGAACAAGTAGCTAAACAACTTGCTGACGATGTTTTCAATGGTAATTGTGATATCGATACCGCTGTTACTCAAATGATGGGACAACTTACAGGACATCTTAGCTCAAACCCATCACTTGTTAGCAATTTACAATCGCTTGCACAAGAATTTTCGGGTGTTCTTACATCATTCCTTTCAAATTCTCAATCAAAACGTGTAGCCAGTCGTGCTGGTATTGATCTCTCTGCATTGATCAGTCAATTCAGTAGCTTGGACATTGTTTATCTTATTTTTCCACAATATAAAGTAATATCGAATTTCAATATTTTTTATTTTCAATGAAACTATGTTTTTTTTTATTTTATTAGAATATCATAAAGAAACTCGTTGATGTTGCCTATC